TATCAGAAATGATTCTCTGAATCAAAGTAGACAAAACATAAGAATAATGAGTTTTTATATGCCAGGTACTGTTCTATTTATTTGCATTATTTCATTTACTCTTTCCCCAAATCCTACGAAGCAGACTTTTACTTTACAGATCAGGAAACTAAAGCAGAGTGTTTAAGCAACTTCCATAACAGCACAGAGATGAGGAAGCTATGTGGCCTGAGACGCAAATGCAGGCACAACACACAGACTCCAGAGCCAGCTCCACCAAGAGCTATTCTATTTGCCAACTATCCAGTCCTGACACCTCATTTACAGACAGGTCTAGAGAAGGGAAATTAGTGGCTAAAATAAAAAACCCCAAATTCTAGATCCAAATCCCTTTCAAAACAAAACTAACAAAGAAAAACACATCAACTCTCTCACAATAAAATGGGAAAATATTGATCATTCTGAGCAAACCTCATGCTGAGTGGAAAGGCCTGCTAAATCCATTTTCTATCACTGGTACACAAATAGATAAGAGAGCAGGTCACAGCAACCATTAATCTCATCCCTTTTAAAACTCAAGTAAACATGTGAAAGTCAAAAGAGTGGGATAAAAAAAGACACATTAAGCACGTTTAGAAGTTTATTAAAATAAAGTATTAGCAAACATATGCAAAAACAAAGTTCTTAAGAGTTATGGCTTTGAAAAGCACAATATAGTAAAACCTAACACATTTTTTTAAGTATCAAAAAGATAACAGAACTGAGGCCTGTTGCTAGAATTTCATTTTCTACTACATAAACAGAGGCAGATTAAGTACAAATAAGAAGCAGACTTAGAGTGCAACCACTGGTTTGGTGTTTATCACCTGCATATGAAATACCTTTTTAGAGAATATGGGCAAGTGTATACAAACATCCAGTTTTCATGATTACAATCCTATCCAACTTTAAAATAAGTGATTTTCAAAATTCAACTTAAACCAATGAGGTTAAGAAAATCACTTGCCCAACTGTTATTGTTAAGAGTCTATACAGTTTCACTTCATGAGTAAGTCAAAGCTTCATCATCTTTAATGGCATTAAAAAGTAAATTCCAACTCTAACAACTTTCTTCTTTTACAAAGAACTTGGGATCATTTGGCCTCACTGGAGTTTTGTTATAGCTAACACCAGTTAGTAGTAAGAAGGCACTATCTATTAGTAAGGGAGGTTGGGGTAGTGAATCTACCGGTACACAAAAATCCTGAACTTCTCAAAAACATCATCATCAAATAAATCCTTAAAAAGAAAGTAGTTTAAGATGATTTTTAAAGAATTTTAAGAACTGATTTACCTGGACAAATATCACACAAATCAATTTCACTCTGTCATAAGTGACAGAAAAATTCTTCCGTAAGACTGGATCTTTTCAACTACTCATCACTTATTTTAAAGTGATTGTTACTACCAATATTATAGCATAATCTCTGACAGAAACTAATGTATGGACTCCTCACTGTTTTCATAAATAATTTTAGGGTAACAGTTCAACTATAACAGTTGTGTTTTAGAAAATTAATATGACAAAGGCTTGATAAATATTGTTACCGTTGGTGAACAGAACTCACTAAACTGCAATCCAGTGAATTCCAAAGAACTGTCCAGCTTTTTCAATCCAGTGAATAGGATTGTTTATGCAGAAGAAATCTGTGAATTTTCACTTTCCATACATTTTTTTGTGTGAAGAAAACCTCTCTGGACTCCCACCTGTATTAATGAGGACAATGCTGCTGCTCATGGGATTGCCCACCAACAACAACAAAAAAAAAACCCCAACTGATTAGTATCTGAGGAAAACATCCATAAACCGACACTTAGGAAAACTCCCTCCCGTAAAAATCACCAAATACTTCTAAAACCACCAGGTTATCTACTGCTTTAAAAGATCTTTGTGGCTTAGCTAACAGATGGGTATAATCAAGATACATTTATATACCTATCCAAGAAATTGATGATTTAACCAGTAAGACAAAGGAGGGCTCTAAACCGCTTGAAAGTTAATAGATCCAAAATGTAAGTCATCATTGGAGGTTGAATTCAACTGGAGATTAAATTCCTTAGGAAATATAAAAATAATATATTTTTAGTAGGGAACTGATACTGATCCAAAGTAATACGAAGCAAGTAACTAGGAAAAGTAGAAAGAAATAGATCTAAACTGGTATATTAGGTGCTTTCTATAATGTAAAAAAATACAGCACTATAACAAGTACTATCAAACTCTTCAGGGTTTCTCTGTTACTGGTAGAATTTCATGTTTTTTACAAACTTTCTCCTTCAACAGAACAGTTACAGAGAACTGTTTCTCACTGGTACCCTCAAGTAATACCAAAGGTTTTATGAGTCCCAGATCTTACCTTGAGAAGACATTTCAGATCTGAAAACCTAAAGATCATTTTACATTCTAAAAAGATGTCTTATTCTCAAGTATTATGAAAAGTATAAAATAGCTACATCTTCTCTCTCTGTTTTTACATGTAGCTTACTGAACTGTTTAGTAACCTTCCTGTGGATATATCCTCAGAAACCCAACCAATTCTCTTATCATAATTTCCTTATATAAAAACAATAAATGTGAAAATGATTTATCTTCTGTGTATACATGACTTTTAAAGTTAATGTCTTAGATTTTCTGTAAAGAAAAATGTTAGCTTCAGTACATCAGTAATATGCTTAACCAGTTTACATTCCATTAACTTTAGCTGGGCAATACTAACCAGACCATAATACTAAATGTTAGTCAAATGTATCTCCTAAATCTTATATTTTTTTTCAATCTACATCCTTTTGTTGCTTTAATTCATTGCTGAGATTAATTTTGATTCTACTTCTCTTTTCACACTTACCAAACTGGTTGTTCTTTTATTATCTGTCTTTTCAGATGGTATATATTATTAGGTTGTACAAGCTATGAAATGTGACTAGTCTAGTGGTTTTGATGTTTTCATAAATTTGATTATATGCCATTCTGGAGATAAATAAAAATTTAATACTGTAATTTTCTGAAGTGATTTCTTTCAGAGGCCCGTTCTTTTCATTGGTCAAAATTTCATTGTTGTTTTTAGTTGTAAAAGCAATTTTAATCTCTCATCCATGATTATTGGGAACATCCTCGGGAATTAAGTTTTCATTTCAAGTCCAGGGATATGGAGTTCATAACTTTTAGGAAATACAACAAGCTCATCATACTTCTCCATGGTACTTTTAGCAGTTAACAGCATAAGTGCTGTCACTCAGGAAATACATCTTAGAGAAGACACAGAAAAGCCAATCACATAAAAAAAGCCTGTTGACTTTAAAGGTGTGTCATGAGTTTGGATACAAATAAAATGATTTTTAATTCTACTGATAAAACATCAATAAAACAACTCAGGAGTTTCTACCAAATCAAGCCCACTGAAGTTGATTATATGTATCTGTCACTCAACCTGGGTGTTTTTTCCTACAAATTTCTTTCAAAGATTGTGCCATGAGCTTGATAAGTAAAAGAATGATGAAGATAGCTAAATTCTATCCCTAAGCAAATAATGTTCTTTCCTGTGGCTGACACAACCCTGGAAGTATTATGTAAAACTTATTTTTAAGGCTCAGGCGACTGTCAGAAAGTATCTTTTTAACCAGCAAAGAACTGTGAGTTGAAACATACATGGCATTTCATTTGAAAGAATTCAAACCATCCACTGGCTGCACTTTGTAAAGGCAATAAATAATATCACAGAAAACAAAAGAACTGTATTCTTCTTTCTTCAAAAATGCATATTTTTACTTATATAAGGTAGAAAGGACAAAGTAGAAAGTCAAACCAAACTAACATTTTCAACAGAACATATGGCAAAAGGCACCAGAAAATAAGCTTCTTCTGATGAGTAAGTTAGGTCACTTTTCCCAAAGTTTCGTTGTTCTCATGCCATAACTAAATGTTCATTGGACTGCTCCCTAGAAGAGGGTGTTAAGAGTCTTTTAGCCAAAGTCTTTAAGCATGATTGCTTAAATGTATAGTCAGAGTTTTCATTTCTTTTCTCTCTGAGGACTGATTGTGTTCTCATAGATTAGCATCCACACCGGTGCTAAAAAAAAAAAAGAAAGAAAGAAAGAAGAAGAAGAAAAGCGCGTGCATGGTAACTGAGAGAACAGCCTTTCATCATGAATGTTTTAAAATCAGCTATCCCAACGACCGCTGCTAATTCATTTAAGTATCAAACAAGTAGCCTCATCCCTGGGTCCAGACTGAAGAGGCTCCTATGCTTACAGTACACAGGTCCTTGCATGGGGAGAATGACATGAGTAAGGGCAATGCAATTAAGTACATGATTTTTCCAACATTAATAACATCCATAAAGCTACAGGGAATAAAAAAAGGCACCTTGAGTTGGAGCAATAGACTAATAGCCTATAATCTAGGTTGAAAATAAAACAAAACTAGAAAAAGCGTTACTTCCTATAACTGTAATCTATAAATTGCAGTGTTTGTTAATACAAAAAGGGTACCAGGGAGGTAAGGATGAGCATCTAAGTCTAAGTCACTTGAGTGTTTCACAAAGTTACACTAAAAACTGTCACCCATCAAAGTGCAAAATAAAAGATTAATGCATGTCAAAATTAAGAGTTCTTGCAACATTGGCCAAATGCAGCAAACATGGCTGCACAAGGCCGTGCATGCACTGTCACTAGCTATAAAGAAGTACATATGACAGGTTCTGAGTAAATGACATAAACTACAGATCTGATGTTTGCAATAACATTTTTGTAAAAGAAAACATTTTACAAAAGATATACTGAGTGAAGTCACAATACACTGACAAACATTTAGCTGTATTAAACGCAAATTTTATGACATCCTCTACAAGGCTATCACTTTGCTTTTACTGAACACTACTAGTTAGAGCAGTGCATAGTGTTTCTTTAAATGAACATTTTTTTTTTTATAGTTTCCATTATGTCCCTACCATATGCTTTTACAAAACAATGAATTATACTTTTTAAAGTTGGTGGGACAAAGAAACTGGTACAAGTATATCTTCTAGAAAATTCAGTACAGAAGGGAAGACTTTTTTCACTTTTCATCCTCTTATACTAATTTTCATCATGTGATTTATTTTTTAAAACAATTTAACAAAAAAACCTGTTGGGACAAAAAGGCAAAAGTATCTTCCAGTTTAAGAACAATGCAAAACTTCTGAACTGGGGCACAATACTTACTCTGTATTTTTCACAACACTTTTGAGAGTTAATCACACGAACATGAATACAAACAAACGTCGATTCATCACAAAATACAAATGTATTGGTCACAATTATGTAGAAAAAAATAAGCTGTAATATCTGTTTTCCATGTAAGCTCACAGTATCAGTACAGAAAATTTCCCTAAAATTAAAACAAGTCCACTAATAGTGTAATTGAAAAGAATACTTCTGCACTATGAAACAGAAGATATGGGATTCAGAGGGGAGCCCATCTGAGTGAGGACTTTATCCAGCCACTGAAGAGGCCCATGAAGATGAATCTCAATCCAACATGGGGTGCTAGTAACATCCTGCCGGTGATATTCTGCGCCCCAGCCCTATGAAAATGAACAAACATCATAGAAAAATCCCTTTTTAAACTGTCAACCAGACTAAATCAATTTAAACATAATACAAAGATACTTTACAGTAGTGGTATGCAGAACGTACTTAGAAAATTACTATCACAAAACCAATCTTAGCACTCACCAAGGAATTAAAAGCAACCCAGTAGCTGTGTTATTGAAAGATACATGTAATTGCCTTAACAGAAATACAGCAAATGTTTCACAATTCTTTTTCTTTTCAATTTTAGAAAGGTAATACAGTGCAATATATAATTAAAACTAATGTTTTTATAGTGAGACAGAGCCTCACTTAACAGGATATATTCATATAAGTTCACATATTTTATTACCAAAAAATATTTGGCATTTAGATTTTGGTTTTTTTTTTTAATGTCACATAAGATCTGATTAATGCATGCAAGTATAATTAAAATGGCAATCACACAGCAATTAGTCTTTGAGATAGGAAATTACTAGGATATATTGAGCTGAAACACTTTAGCCTAAAACTCCAGACAAAGATTAAAGTATTTTGTTTTCTCTTTCATTTCCCTGGATTTATCAAGTTCTTGACTTTACTGCTTACGGTAGTACTGGCCCAGGAAAATTAGGCAGGGGTGTGAGGAGGCAGGAGTAAGGGACAGAATTTTAATACAGAAAGGGAAAATGCCTTCAGGGTTACTGACAGATTGATTCATATAACAGGCCTAGAGCAAAGCAGCAAGAAAACACTGAACCACTGGCACTAAATGCCAAAGAAGAAAAAAATCTTCTCATGGCATTTGACAGTTGCTCTTTTTTGGCTAAATCCTTAAGGACCACATGGATACACAGTACAGGTAGCTTAAATAGATCACTAAAATTCACTAACTACCAACATTTTTGGAATACAAATAAAATCAGGCCATGAGTAAGTGATACATTTGAAAATTTCCTTGAACTTTGCAAATCCTTAATAACAAAGACTAGACACAAGTAAAATACTTATATACCCTATAAAAAATTCTTTAAGTCACTCTAATGGGAACTATTTACTGAAATTGCTGAAGCTAAGGAATTTAAAAAGCAATTTAATGTTAAATATTTCCCAGTAATTTAGTCTTTGAAATTTTTCATACACTCAGTTCTTTCTCAAAATGTGATATCAAAACCAGTATCAGTAATATGTATTTTATAATGTCTGGATTACAAAATAAAAACTTAGACCTATCATGAGATAAAAATGATAAATTCAAAATCTTCACTTTAAAACCTATTAAATCAGGTTAAAAGTAATTATCACCTTGCATTTAACACTTTTCAAAAATTATACCCTATAGACATTTAATATACATATTTACAGTGACTCAAATTAAGCTACAGGTCATAAGCCACTCACCTTGACAAAACTCATTCGAATGGTACACATTTTGGTGAGCTCATATACTGCCTCAAATCCATGGTTGACAGACTGAGCCAAAAGTTGAGCAAACTCTTGATTGTTAAAAATTTTGAGGCTGCAGCTGCTGGGAATCTTACACACAGTAGTGGGATGAAAGCCATGATGAAAGTTGCAGTTCCTACTCTGTACAAATATGCTGCTGTCACTGAGGCACTCTGCATATACCTCTCCGCCAACATAGTACAGATGAACACCTTAAAAAGACAGGTAGTCAAGAGCCAACTTAACAAAGAAGTATTATGAAACCAAAGAGGCTATATGAAGACAAACAAGAATACCCACTAATCTACAGCAAAGTACTTAGACAGAAGCTACCACTAGGTGGCCTTACACTGTCAAGGATAATCAAAAGGTTAAAATCTGCCAAAATCTATAGTTCCTCAAATAAGTTAAGACCTTATTAACATTCAAGTTGCTAGCAATCTTTGATAGTCAGTTTTTAGTTTTTTTCCTTTTCCAACTACCATTCATCAACTCTACGAGAGAAAGTAAAGGCAAAAAAACAAACCAAAAAAAAAAACAAAAAGCACTTTATGGTGAATTATTTTTCAAAGGAATGCTTTGTCTATCAACTATGACAGCCCTAAGTGGTTAAGAGTTTTTAACTCATTGCCAATGGAAAGGACGGCAGAAGTAAAAACAAAAATCCTAGTCACATATGTAACTTCAGGGCACAGGAAGAGCTTCTTAATGACATGATATATTTTACTTCAATAAATATTTTTGTATTTAAAATACCTATGTAAATAGTTTTATAGTAAAGTCAGTTTAGATAATAAAAATTCAAATTATACAGCTAGAACTATATAATTAAAATTCAAATTATATACCACAATAAATGACCAAATTCAACTGACTATAGGGAAATGACAAGATCGCCTCTTCCCAACTTTACTGCAAACAGGGCTAAAAAGACCGGCTTGTATACCCATACTCTGCACATATGTGACCCACAGATTTGCCTCATGTGATATTACAAATTATGTTGTGTTTTTGAACAAATAAAAATAACCCAGGAAAGAAATGGTTCTACAAATGTACATTGAGAAAAAAGGGAAAATTGATTTTACAATTTAACAAGTAGGTTTCTCTTAAATTATTTGGTATGGGGTAAAAATCAATGCATAGAAGTGAAGTGTTTCACCTAAAAAATCACGGCAAGTTGGTACTGAAGTCAAAAGAGAATGGAAACTTTCTTTTCAATTTATTTTTTGCAAAAGTATTTTTCTGGATCTTTTCTGTAAGAAATCACATCACAATCATAGTTATTTGTCTACCTTTTGTTGTTAATTTGGACTAAGATTTTCTCATGTCAAAAAAACCAAAAAGCAGCATTAAAAACAAAATTTCTTAAGAGATAGGTAATATACTCTTCCTAAGATAGGTTTCCTTTCTAACCACTTGACATATGAGATTCTGACATTTCACTGCAGTATGAAAAGTTTGTTTGTTGTGGCAACTGTCTTGAAGGACGCATTATAAATGAAACCTTGTTACCTGAATTTAAAAGGTAGGAGTGGTGGTGGTGAAGTCAGTGAAGACCTGTCATTCAAACGGAACTTCCTATCTATAACTGTTCCTCCAAGATAATGGAGATTCCTGGAGTCATCTCAACCCCAACAAAATACTTATCAAATATCATCAGCAATAAAATTCTAATCCTTCACCACTATTCATGTAGTCCACAAATCTCTCCTTATATGTATTTACTATGAGCCAGGTATTATACTAGCTGCCAAGGATATCATGAAAAGTAAAATACTGATAAAGCTTATATTCCAGCAGAGCCTCAAAAAATAAAGGTATAAATAATGTAATTTCAGACCCTACATATTACGAAGAAAAAGTAAGCAGGATAAGGAAATGATAACTGATTTTCATCTTTACTTAAGACATTCCTCAATATCTGCAATGGAGAACAGAGATCACACCTGAAGTTTGTTGTATGCTCAGTACCTTACACAATGCACAGTAAATGACTGATTGGAACTGACTGTAGGAAAATGACAAGATTACCTTTTCCAATATGTCGTCTAGTGTTTTCAATTGTTGAATTCCTATTAACGTTTGACAACAACCCCAAGCAGAATCTACTTTTGTTATTTGAAGGATCTGTGAATCCATCTACTAACACACTAGTAGAAGATGCATGAAAAGCTTCCCCAACACGATTGTTTAATTCATAGTAGACAATTGAACACCAATGTTTGGGTTCTTCATAGGCAACAGGCTGCACATCTGTGAACAAACCAGGCAGAAAATATATTCAATGAATGATTCCTTTAACCCAGCCTAAACACTTTATGAAAAGATTCACTTAAGTTTCATTATCCTTCCTGACTTTGAGTCCTTATCCAAAAAGCAAACATGACAAATGCCTTGAACAAGGCAGTTTTTAAAATTATACAAAGACAGGCAACATCATGTTTTAAATTGTTTATGTGGCACAGTTTAACCCAGGTTTAAACTCAAGATACCGGGTCTCCAGGCTCTCAAGCTATAGACAGCCACTGGAGCATGAGTTCCATCCCCGCCAGGGAGCTAACTCAATTGGCTCAGCAGACCTTTCCTGCCTCACCTGCTGCTCCCCTCAGCAGTATATTTCAGTAGATCTGCCTGTTCTGCTCCCCACTCTCTCTGGTGAATCCTCTCACTGCCCCCATATATATCTCTGACCTACACCCCAGTTCTTGTATGGATAAATAAATCTTTGAAAAAAATTGAAGATGCCAAATATCTGAACTATACCAGTATGTAAAAAAACAAAAAAAAAAACAAAAACAAAAAAAAACCAAACTCTAAACAAAAATTACAACTGAAAAACTAAGTTGAGATTCTCAACAAAGTAGGAATAGAAGGGAACTTACTCAACTTGACAAAGATTTATAGAAAACTTCTAGCTAACATCGTAATGGTAAGAAACTAGAAGCTTCCCATCCAAGATCAGTAACAAGGCAAAAATATTCTCACTACTCCTTTCGACCAACATACTTAAATCCTAGTTAAAATAGTAAGACAAGACAATAAAAAAGATACAGACTGGGAAGAAATAAAGCTCTCACTGATCACAAATGACATGGCTATACATATAAAAAATCTGAAAGAAAGAAATGACCAAAAAACTCCTGGAACAAATAAAGCAATTAATACTGGAGGATAGCAGGTTAATAAAAAGAAGTCAATAGCTTTCCTATGTACTAGCAATGAACAAGTGGAATTTCAAATTAAAAACTCATTACCATTTACATTGTCTCAAAATATGAAATATAAAAATCAAACCAAATAGGTACAAGATCTATATGAGAAAAACTGTAACAATCAAAAAAAGTCAAAGAAGAACTAAATAAATGTGGAAATATCCTGCACTTATGGACAGGAAGACTCAATACCGTCAAAATGATAGTTGTTCCCAACATGATTCAATGCAGTAACAATTAAAATCCCAGCAAGGTATTTTGTAGCTATTGTAAAATGAACCTAATGTTAATATTGAGAAGCAAAAGATCCAGAATAGCCAATACAATATTGAGGAAAAACAAAATTGGAACCACCCAACTTAAAGGCTTACAGTAAAGCTATGGGAATCAAGACAGTGTGGTACTATGAAAGAAAAGACAAATAGCTCAAAAGAACAGAACGCAGAGCCCAGAAGTAGATTCATTTAAATATAGTTAATTAATCTTTGATGAGGATAGAGTAAGGGCAATAATGGACAAAAATCTTTTCAAGAAATGATGTGAAAACAACTGACATTCAAATGCAGAAAACGGATTCAACAGAGCCCCCAAAATTCACGAAACAAAAACCAACAGAAGTGAAAACAGAATTAAAATGATTTGAAAATATAGTTCCGGATGTCAATATCCCACTCTTTATAACTGACAAAACAATCATAAAGAAAATATGCAAGGATACAAAATAAGCAAGGATACAGAAGACTTAAATAACATTTGACTAAAATCTACTTGATCTAACCAAAATCCCACAGAACGAATGACACAATATACAGTTTTTTTCAAGTGCACATGGAATATTCTCTAAAATACACCATATGCTCTGCTAGAAGGAGGCAAACCTTTTCAGCCCACCAAACCAGCACATGTGAAAAGAATTATATGCCAATACCAACGTAATTATTTTGTGGTTTTCAGGCCACATACTATCTTTGTCACGTACTTCCGCCTTTCTGTAACAGCCTTTCAATAATCTACAGAACATTCTTAGGTCACAGGTTTTATAAAAACATGCATAAAACAAGTCTCAACTAATTTTAAAGACTGAAATCATACATAGTATGCTCAATGCATACAATGGAATTAATTAGGAAAAAGAAATTTGGGAAATCCTAAAATATCAATATTTGGAATTGACTAACATGCTACTAAATAATCCAGGGGTGGGCCTCCCCTGGTGGTGCAGCGGTTGAGCACTGGGCTGCAAAGCTGCCCGCAGCCTCTGCAGCGTGGGTTCGATCCCCGGCAGGCAAGGGAGATTGCCACATGGCGTGACAGACCTCTCCTGCAGCACCCACTGCTTCCCTCAGCAGTGTATTTCGTCAGTCTGCCTGTTCTGTTTCCCGCTCTGGCTCTGGTGAATTCTCTCACCCTCCCACGCTTCTGACTGTACCCAGTGCTTGTATAAATAAATAAATAAATCTTAAATAATCCAGGGGTCAAAGTAGAAATAAAACATATAAAAAGTTATGGGATGCAATTAAGACCATGGTTAAAAGGAAAGCAATCATTTTGAACACCTAAGTTCAAAAAGAAGCAACAAATCAATAACCTAAGAGTCCTACTTAAGAAACCATACAAAGAAAAATTATACCCAAAGCAGCAGAATAAAGGAAATGATAGAACTCAGAGTGGAAATCAGTGAAAAAGAGAAAAGCTGGTTCTTTCACAACTGGGAATCTTTTAGCTGAAACAAACAAGAAAAATGAACAGGACACAAATTTTAAAAAATCAGGAAAGAAGCCATCACTACTCCAACAGAAATCAGAAAGATTATAAAAGATACTATGAAATAGTTTATGCCAACAAATTAGACAAATATAAATAGACACACTCCTACTAAGGCACATATCACCAAAATTGACTTAAGAAAAAAAAGAGTGAATAGACCAACATAATAGGTAGGAGTCAGTAATTTAAAATCTTCCCACAAATTCACTGGTAAATTCATAAACTATCCAAAGAATAACAATACTTCACAAACTCTTACAAAAATAGCAAAAAATATTTCTTAATTTATTCAACAAGGCAACTATTACCATGATAATGCCATACAAAGCCATCACAAGAGAACTACAGACCAATATTCCTCATTAAAAGACCAATATCCCTCCTGAAGATCCCTCATGTTGAGCAAAAATACTCAACAAACTAAGAGCAAATCTAATCCAGCAATATATAAAAAGGATTATATACCATGACCATGTGGGATTTATCCCAGGAATAGAAGGTGGTTAAGTTTAACATCAGAAAATCAATTTCATGCAATACACTTTATCAATAATAAAAGAACCCAAAATACCCACATGATCATGTCAACAGATACAGAGTTTGGAAAAAACTCAACAACGACTCATGATAAATTAATAAAATAGGACTAGAAGGAAAATAGTAGTTTACAGGATAGCCCCTCCAGAACAATTCTGAACAGAAGTATTGAGAGCAGACATTCTTGTCCTGTTCCCACTCACAGAGGGAAAGCAAGTCAATCTTTTACCATTAAATATGATGTTATATTCATACATGCCCTTTAATATTAAGAGAGAGAGATGTTAAAGGCATCCAGACTAGATAGCAAAAAAGTTGTTTGTTTTTTTAAAAAAGGCTTTAACAAATCCAAATAAGAACACACAAAAAAATCTACTAGAACTAATAAATTAGTTCAGCAAGGCCACGTTACAAGATTAATAAACAAAATTCAATTGTATTTCTATATACTATAAAGAAGAATCCAAAAATGGAGCGATTTTAAACTTCATCCACCTAGGAATAAATTTTAAGAAAAGTAGAAATAGATACAAAAGACTTATACTGAACCCCAAGACACCTAAATAAAATGGAGAGACAGTCCACATCTGTGTACTGGAAGATGATGGTGAAGCTCCCCAAACTGATTTAGAAATTCAGTGTTACCTCTATCAAAATCCAAGGTGGGATTTTTGGGGAAGGTGGGGGAAATACTGACAAGCTAATACTAAAATGAGAGGGAAATGCAGATAGCCAAATAATTCTGAAAGAGAACAAAGTAGAGGACTAACACTTCTAATTATCAAAGCTTACCAAAAGCTTTAATAATCAAGACTATGAGCTGAAGATAAGAACAAAACTGAGTGTTTTGAATTGGATCAATTCATTTTTGAAAAAGATGTCCAGGCAAGTCAATGATACTCATTTCAACAATCAATGCTGGAACTAACTGGATATCTACACACAAAAAGATGAGTTTAGACCCTTACCACATAAAATACTTAACTCCAAGGGAATCACAGATCTAAATATAAGAGCTAACACTAGAGAACTTCTAGAACAAAGCACAGGAGAAAATTTTTCTGACCTTGGGATAGACAGATTTCTTAGGCACAACACCAAAAGCATGATCTAGCAAAGAAAACAACTGATGACATAGACTTCATCAGAGTTTTCATTAAAAACCTATCTGCTTCAGGAATTTAGAAAACCTAAATAAGGGACCAGGAAAAAGACGAACTATAATAAAGAAAAAAAAAAAAAATCAAAATCAACACGCAACTATCAACCAGAGACACACGGGGCAGGGGTGGGGGAGAGGGGAGAAGAGGTCAAAGTAAGGGAGGTGACATTGTATGGGGAATATAACCAAAATGAAAATGCATACATTGTGCAAAAATGAAAAATAATGTAAGAATTATATAAAATAAAATATTAAAAAATAAAAATAAATAAAAAACACCTTTCTGCTTCAAAAGACACCATTATAAAAATGAAAAAATAAATCATAGACTGATAGAAAAAAATTGCAAATCATTTATCTGATAAAGTACTTTGAACTACAATATATACTAATAAAATGTGAGAATTCTTACATCTAAATAACACCACAAACAACACAATTAAAAAGTAGCCAGGCCTCCCTGGTGGCTCAAGAGGTTAAGCACAGCACTGTGAAGCTATCTGCAGCCTCTGCAGCACGAGTTCAATCTCAAGCCGGCCAGGAAGCCACCCACATGGCGCAGCAGACCTCTCCTGTCTTACCCACTGCTCCCTCAGCAGTGTATTTCAGTCAGTCTGTCTGTTCTGTTCCCCACTCTGTCTCTGGCGAATCCTCTCACCCTCCTGCACCTCTGGCCTGTACCCCAGTTCTTGTATGCATAAATAAATAAACCTTAAAAAAAATGGGCAAAAGACTTAAGTAAGCATTTCACAAAGAAGATAAATGAGTATATTGCAATGTAAATATAATAAATATATTGCAAGTGTTCAGCATCATTCTCAGAGAAATGCAAATTAAAACCACTATGAGAAAGAACTTCGTATCTATGAAAAGGGCTATAATTAAAAAAAACAAAAACAGATAATACAGTGTGGAGAAACTGGAATTCTCATACATTGTTGGTAAGAATGTAAATGATACTGCCACTCTGGATAATACTGGCAGTTTTTCATTAATAGTTATATTTACCATATGACTCAGAAATCCCACTTAAACTTCTACCCAAGAAAATATAAACAATGTCCACACAAAGACTTAAATGCATTATGTTCATATCAGCATTGTTCATGGAAACAAATCAAATGTCCACCAACTGGTGAATGAACAAATAAAATGTGGTGCCATCCACACAATAGAAAATTGTTCAATAATGAAAAGGAACAAAGTACCAACACATGCTACACAATATGAAGAAGCTTGAAAACATGATACTAAATGAAAGAAACCAGATGTAAAAGACTATACATTATTTGGTTCTATCTATATGGAATGTGCAGAGAAGGCAAATCTATTGCTATAGAAAGCATATTAGAGGGTCTCTCGATCTGGGGATATGAGTAGGATAAATTACAACTAGCCACAAGGGAGAGTTTCAAAGGATTATGGAACTAGTCTAAAAATAGATTGCAATGATAGCACAAAATTTTACACATTTCTAAAAATCACTGAATCACATGCTTCATTAAAATAGATAAATGTTATGACATATTAAAATAAAACTATTTTTTATAGTATCCAAGAAGTTAAAACAAAACCAGCAAAATACATATGGTATTTCTCTTACCTCTGCTGGATATACTGGGCATAATCTGAGGAATCATATTATTGCTTGTATCCATGGGTTGGGAATTATCTTGACCCATCTGATCATCTGGTGGCATATAGGCAGGAGGAGGAGTATCAGCTAAGAAGAAAATGAGAAAAGTTAAATGCCAAAAGAACATTTAAAGTCTTCATCTCCCTTTAATTTATTATTATAAAAAGAATTTAACTATTCTTATTACCAGCAGAGTTCATTACTGAACATTATACAAACAACAATGGAGGATGCTATGTTAGGGCAAGGAGGAAAAAAAGATAGCACACCCAAAGGCTGCTGGAAATCTCCTGAAAGTTCACATGTATTGGTCCGGATCCCTGGCAATCCAGAATAGTTAAGATCAGTGCTAAAGTTTATTTTAATTCAAAGTTAAGAATTCTGTGTCTTTATTTACTTAGAATCATATGTAGGGGAAAACTGCAACTACTACAAATCAAAGTGAAGGAAACAGGATTGTGTTAGTTTAGCTACATCTCCACAGAGACAATTCTAAATTATCAGGATCATCACATATCATATATTGTTATTTAAAACTGAAAAATAAAACCGTGACCCTATAAAATTTGCTATCAGTACTAGCTACAGTTGTTTAAGTCTTTCAGAACATCTTAAAATGGCTGGTAGGCCTTATTAAGTAGCTAGGTAATTCTCTTAGGAAACTAAACAAGCATAACCAGAAAATATTCTGAGTTCCACATCTTGTGGTCAAAAATCTTAGCAAAAGCTGTAGTTATATGTCTTTGTTTCAATAAACATAAATAATGAATATAATGTCTTTTTCACCCCAAGATTTTACAAGGTACATTTGAGACAGTTACAATCAGCAGTGAATGTAGGACGAACTATAAAAAATAGTTTTTGAACAGATACCTAATAAGAAAGCAAGCAGCTGGTATTTAATTTCCCTTCAAAAACACCAAAAGTCCATCAGTTGCTATGTAGAGAAACAACAAATAACATACTTACATATGACTCCACCTGACAAAATTAAGTGTTCAAATATTTCTTGATGGTGTAACAAAATTTAGGAACTTTATAAAATCTACTTCTCATCTTTTTTCAGGCAAATCAGCTTCCCAACTAAAGATAACTGAGGTTCATTTAGCCTGTCTCTAAAATGATTTGACAAGCTATGAATAATAAGTAGTACAGTTGAAAGAGCACAGAATTTAGAGTCAGACAAACTTGGGTCTGAATATCCTCTAATATTTGCTGTGTGGCCTTCGGCAAGGTAATTAAATTCTTGGGATTAATGAAAATTTCTTTTACCATCTGTAAAATAGAAATAATACCTAACATGGTTGTTCTAAAGATTAAATTCAATAGCTTTCATCAACCAGTTTTGTAAAAGGCACTCAAATGAATTACATGAAAATATTTTTTAGTCAAATATTGGTGCTCTGATTTTTGTTTTTAAAGCATATAGTACTTGGCAAAATAAAATCCAAAACTCTTCTGGAAATCAAACAAATACCAAAGAATACAGAGGCAAAAATAGCTAGCTCTTGGCAGATATAACAGGCCACCCAGAAAGGCAGGTTATCAGGATTTATTTTACATGAATAAAATAATTTCTTACCAGGGAGCTGAAATGGACTTCCTGGTCCAGAACTTGCTGGCGAATTGGGATATGTGCTGCTAGCAGGAGAAGGGGGGTAGGGGCTATTTGGAGATAAAGGGAAAGGAGTGTTGTTGGGCTGGTGGAAAGAATCAGGAAAGGTTGCATTCTGTGGCATGTGTGGTTCATTGTGGCTTAGGTTCCTAAATTGAACCAGAAGGCTGTGTTGTGGATTGAATTCATTATGACGAGGCACTAACACTGGAGGTAAGACTGAAAGACAAAAATCAAAAGCCATTTGTCAACAATGACTAGCGCATATATCCCACACAATAAAAACTGTAAACCTATTAATACTACTTACTTTTAGGAAACGATTCTTTGTAGAGCCTTTGCTCTACATGATAATTAAACTCAAAACTTTCTAGGCATTTAACCGTTATAAAGAACCCTGGAAGACAGAAAATCCAGCAAACGCACCAGTCCTTCACGCCTATCTCCAGGAGAGAAAACATTATTCAAAATAAGCATAATACAGACAACTTAATGCAGTAAAAGTTCAAAAGAAGATTAGATCTTAAAGAACCGGTAAGATTTCACATGGGAAGGTTAAGGATGAGGAGACAGAGGAGGAGATGATTCCAGGAAGAAAGTAAGGATACACAGCTGGCCTAACCATTGCAGTAGGAGGTATGTATGAGCAGAGAGTGAAACTGAAGTCAATTATGTAGGGCCCAGAAGCCTCCATGTTACAAGTTCTGAACATGTCATCTTTTAGTTTGAGAGACCTCATATTTTTATATTCTTCAGTAAAATTTTCCTTATTGAAAACAGTAACATTTCCTAGGTAGAAAATCCTCTACTCTAAATCAGTTTTTGAAACATGACCACATGAAAATAAGTACAGGGCCTCCCAGGTGGCGCAGTGGGTGGCCTCGGCAGGGTCTTTGGTCCGTCTACCCGTTCTGCTCCCCGCTCTGTCTCTGGTGAATCTTCTCACCCTCCCGCACCTCTCACCTGTACCCCAGTTCTTGTATAAATAAATAAAATCTTCAAAAAGAAAATAAGTACAACAAAGTCTTAAAACAGTTAACATTTTAAGAGATTTTTTAAAAAATATAAACTTTAGCCTTACTCACATTCTCAAAGTACCTTTTCCTATAGGAAATGGAAAGAAACTGATCTATTTAAACTCATAGTGTACCAATACTCATCTTTTCCAACTTTCCTGTATTTGTCAATGTCATTTCACTTCTGACATCATTCAGCAGCAACAAAACCAATCTATTTTTAAGTTAACTGGGTCACACTTTCCCCTCCCTGAAGTAGGGATGTACCTGAGGAATCAGAGGCCAAGTAAGTATTTATACTGTTTGTTTATTTATTTATTTATTTATTTATTTATTACTAAATCTGTGTTGTAATTATATGGTTAATATCTAACTATAGTTGTTTTATTCCACTGTACATTACCAATTGTTGTTCCCTTCAAAGAATGATGGCATAGGTGCCACTGGAGAGCAGGACATTAGACAGTAAAAACGTCTATGCTTAGCTGGCCAGCAATCTGAAAAACTTAGTGAAATAACCAGTTAGGGATTCAATCCAGTAAGGACTGTTTTACTTTTTTAGAGGTAGAAGTAAAAGTATAGGTTCCTTCTGACTTGGGTATTTTTTTTTTTAAAGATTTATTTATTGATTGATTGATTGATACATACATACAAGCACTGGGTACAGTCAGAAGCGCGGGAGGGTGAGAGAATTCACCAGAGCCAGAGCAGGGAGCAGAGCAGGCAGAAGGACTGAAGTACACTGCTGAGGGGAGCAGCGGGCAGCAGGAGGGGTCTGCGCACCATGTAGGACCCTCCTTCGGTGGCCGGGGAGCAGCTGGGGATCGAACCGGCACTGCAGAGGCTGCGGGCAGCTTCGCAACCCAAGCTCAACCGCTGCGCCACCGGGGAGGCCCTGACTTGGATATTATCTGTATAAAACATATCACATTTTTAGTTGTTAGTCTATGTTCATCCAAAATAATAAATGGAGTTTAAAAAGATAGATGCTACAAGAGATTAAAACAAAGACAGCAATTCCATATTGCTTCCAGACACAAATTTAAATTCTTAGCCATTTCTTCTAACATTTACTTTCCGCTAATACACTTACATGATTTGTCAAGACATTATCTGTAGACATATCTGTAGCTGTCAGGGCTAATGAATAGTTTTCTTACATTATTTATCCCACTCTAATTCCCCTTTCCCACAATAAAGTTACATTAAAAAAAATTTTGGTTAAATTCATATCCAGCGTTGATATTATATATACAAACATACATATATACACAGTATTCACTGCTGAGTCAAATATGAACTCTGGTTTCATTCTTTCTGGAACAGTAATTTTATTAAAGTTAATTATTGCCTTGTTTCTTCATCTGCTTAATCTTAAGTATATGCCACTAATATTTACAAAAATCCAACAGATCTGCCAAATTCTCTTTCAATAGGATTTCAAAGGCAAAATTACTTTTTAGATGCCACAAATCAACAAGTGATCTATTGACTGCGGGTCCCTCCCCCACCCCCCACAAGTCCACCATTCTTTCACTACATCGATACTGGTTGCTACTTAGGTCTTCTACAAATATGAAGTCCTGGGCCTTCCTTTCCCTTTTCTCCTGTCAGATTCCAATTCCAGAGCCTTGTTCTCTATTAACTTCCTAAAAAAAAAGGTATAAGGAGTTGAGTCCTTTCACAATCAAAGTGTCTTGTCTTTTATTTATCTACAGACAGATTCTAGAACAGACATTTCCCCGCTATGGCTACAGGGGGTGGAGGGGGGAATGAAGACACTGCTTCATTTTCTTCTAGAATGCAGAACTGCACTGAGAAATCTAAAATTCTAATTTTCAGTCCTTTGTAAGTATCTGGTCTTCTCTCTTCAAGAGCTTTCAGAATCTTTTTTAAATATGTAATAGACTAAAATTTCACGTGTAGGTCATTTTCTATCTCTTGTTCTGGTACTATATAATTCACTTGGCCCTTTCCATTATTTTCAATTCTCAGAATTGTTCTAGTATATTTTTTTGATAATAAACTGTCATTTTTCTCTATGCTCCAATTCCAGAATGTAATCTTTACTAGAATGACATTTAATTTAAAACTTATTCTGAGTCAGTTTATCTAATTCTCACCACACACTTATGATGTAGGTGTTATTCCCATTTTAAAGAAGAGAAAACTAAATCATGGAATGGTTAAGGAATGTGCCTGCAGTCAGGTAGTACTGGTGAAATCAGGATCTAGATCCAGAAAGACTAGCTCCAGGACACAGTCTTTTTTTTTTTTTTAAAGATTTATTTATTTATTTATACAAGCACTGGGTACAGTCAGAAGCGTGGTAGGGCGAGAGAATTCATCAGAGCCACAGCGGGGAGTAGAACAGACAGAATGACGAAGTACACTGCTGAGGGGAGCAGCAGGTGCCGCAGGAGAGGTCTGCGTGCCATGTGGGACTCTCGCTGGTGGGCGGGGATTGAACTGGTGCTGCAGAGGCTGTGGGCAGCTTCATAGCCCAGCGTTCAACAGCTGTCCCACCAGGGAGGCCCAGGACACAGTCTTAACCACTGGATAATGCTGCCTGTTAGACAGTGGACCACCTAGATTAGTCTTCTATTTTTCTTTATCGATTCCCAACTATCTTCTATCTTAATCTTTTTTTTTTATATGTGGTCTTTATTTTTAATCTTTTTTATTTTTTTACATCATTGTTCATTTTTAAACAATATTTGCCTCCCCCCACCCCCTCAGGTGTAGTCCCCATAGAGTTTCCTTCACCAATGCACCTGTGCACCATCACCTCAGTCCCCTGTGCTCCTCCCTCCCTCCCTCTGATCCCTCTCCCTCCAACTCCCCTGCAGTGTGTCTCTGATTCATAATTGTCCATTTTTGCTTTGCTGTGTTTTGTACTGTTACTATTTTTTTTACGCTGAAGTCTTATTTGGTTCCCCTATATTCCTGCTATAAGTGAAACCATGCGGTATTTTTCTTTTTCTTACTGGCTTATTCCACTAAGCATAATTCCTTCTAGTTCCATCCATGTGGCTGTGAATAGCATGAGTTTATCTTTTTTGACCGCTGAGTAATATTCCACTGTGTATATATGCCACATCTTCTTGATCCAGTCATCTATTTTTGGGCATTTGGGATGTTTCCGGGTTTTACCTATTGTAAATAGTGCTACAAATAAACACAGCTGTACAGGTGTTCTTTTGAATCAATGTTTTTGTGTCCTTTGGGTAGATCCCTAGGAGTGGAATTGCCGGGTTGTATGGTAGCTCCATTTTTAGTAGACTGAAACCTCCAGATAGCTTTCCATAGTGGTTGGAACAGTTTGCACTCCCACCAGCAATGTAGGAGAGATGTTGGCTCCACAATAACTAGGTGATCTTGTAAGTTACACCCTTATGAAGTCTCAATTTCCTAAGCTTCAAACTTATTAGTAACTTATAGGGCTGCAAAATGTTAGTACCTTTTTTTAATCCTATGAAGGGATAACCTCTCAGAGGTACAAAAGTGCCTAGTTTGTAAGTGTTCATTAAAAGTTAACTACTATCACTGGGCCTCCCTGGTGGCATAGCGGGTTGAGCGCCCCACTGTGAAGCTGTCCGCAGCCTCTGCAGTGCGGGTTCGATGCCAGCTGGTGAGAAACCCACGTGGTGCGGCAGACCTCTCCTGCCGCGCCAGCTTCTCCCCTCAGCAGTGTATTTCTGTCGTCTGACTGTTGTGCTCCCTGCTCTGTCTCTGGTGAATCCTCTCACCCTCCCGCACCTCTGGCCTTACCCCAGCTCTTGTACAAAAATAAATAAATCTTAAAAAAAAAAAAAAAAAAGGTGGGCCTCCCCTGGTGGCACAGGTGATTGAGTGCTGCGCTGTGAAACTGTCTGCAGCTTCTGCAGCGCCGGCCGGCGAGGGGTCCCACATGGTGCAGCAGACCGCTCCTGTCTTACCCGCTGCTCCCCTCAGCAGTATATTTTGTTAGTCTGCCTTTTCTTTCCCCACTCTGTCTCCGGTGAATCCTTTCACCCTCTCGCGGATCTGGCCTGTACCCTGGTTCTTGTATGAATAAATAAATAAATCTTTAAAAAAAAATGACTTGCAAAAAATAAGATTTCTATTACTTGATTAATAGTCACATTCTAGCTACAGAGGAATGTACAAAAATCCTAGTCTTCATTTCCAGCAACTTCTAGCAAGCTTGGGAGTTTTTAAGACTACATTTCTCTATTAAATCCTTACATCTTCCTTTCCTCATCAACTCCTTTAGGCTACAACTCTCTCTGGACTCGATAATTGGAGCATCACCTCAAATATCAAGTCGCAGCTCTAAACCCCTTAAACTGAACTTTCCATAAGAATTTAAATGCCCTTCCAGCAGTAACACCACCCTTTCTACCTTACTTGCTTTAAGGAGTAAGTTGCTATGAAATGATCTATCCATGAAGAAAATCATGTGGCAAGGCAGCCTCCAGTCAATAACCAGCAAAAGTCCAACAGCCTTCAAGAGCAAGAATCCTGTCAACAATAACATGAAGCAGATCCTTCCCTAGCTGAGTCTCAGGTGAGACCCAAGCACTGACAAACACCTTGATTACAGCCTTGCAAAGAATCCATTTAAGCCTGAACTCCTGTTCCAAAGAAACTGTGAAAGAATAAATATGTGCTGTGCTAACAAGCCACTTACTTTGTAGTAATTTGTTATGGGGCAATAGATAACTAATGCACTCAGCCAGTATTTTATCTTAGATAATTCATTCATAACAAAAAAAAAATATTGAGCATCACCACCTACTAAGTGCCAGGTAATAACTATTCTAGACACTGAGAATGCAACAGAGAATGAGGCAGAGGAAGGGAACGCTTATGTCATTCAATAAACAAATGTCTATATTTGAGTCAGGTAGTGATGGGGTATTTGGGCAAAGACTGAATGGGGTGAGAATGTTCTTTGCAAAGATCCTGGAGAAAGAGTACTATAATTAGAAGAAATAAGAAGAAAAATGCCTGAATGCAAGACTATGGAAGACCAAGGAACAGAAGAAGTTTGAGGACAGGTCATGTAGGGTCTTGCAGAAATGTGTTTTAAATATGATCGAAAGCCTTCAAAATATTTTGAGCAAGTATTGACAAGGGTAGGTATACATTTCCAAGATCACTGTAGCTGCTGTGTAGAAAGCAGAAAGGACTGGAGAAGAAGAAAAGAGTCAAGAGAGACTAATGAAGAGACTACTTAATAGCGAATGATGATGGCAGATGGTTAAGAGTGATATTATCAAGATATGTATTTGAAGGTACAGCAGATAACATTTGCTCATAGTTCAAATATAGGACTTAAAAGAGAAATAAAAGATGACATCTAGGTAGCTATTATTATTATTTCTAAAAAGATTTTATTTATTTATTTATTTATTTATTTATACATGCATACAAGCACCAGGTACAGTCAGAAGCGTGGGAGGGTGAAAGAATTCACCAGAGCCAGAGCGGGGAACAGAACAGGCAGACTGATGAAATACACTGCTGAGGGGAGCAGTGGGCGAGACAGGAGAGGTCTATTGCGCCATGTGGGACCCTCGCCAGTGGCCGGGGATTGAAGTGGTGCTGTAGAGGCTGCAGGCAGCTTCGCAGCCCAGCACTCAACCGCTGAGCCACCGGGGAGGCCCTAGGTAGCAATTACATGAATGCAAGTGCCATGTACTTCAATAAGGAAAACTGCAGAAAGAAATGACTTGGTGGGGAAAAGAAAAATCAAAGTCCTATTTAGATACATCATTTGGTGTTTTTTAGACATTCGCATGGAGATGTCAAGTAGACAAGTGGATATAGGAGGCATAAAATGGACTCCAGAGTTCAAAACATGAGATCAGTTTATATGGTTTTAAGATATTTTGATGGCATGAGAGCAAAGAGAGGAAAACTCAATAGGGACAAAAAGACAGGGACTGAGTCCTGAGAAACTGTGAAAACAGGAAAATACGTCAACAAGGAGGCTACTTTAAAACAGCCAATGAAGTAGGAGAATCAGGAAAGTGTAGCATTTCAGAAGGCAATAAGGAACACGTTTTGAGTGGGAGGGTAGGCAAGCAAATGTATCAAATGTTGTTAAGAGGCCGTGTAAAATAAGGACAGAGAGACCCCTCTTCTATCTGTAAGAAGGCATCTAGTGATCTTGGAAAGTCACATGGAAGGGAAGAAAGACAAACTGGAGGGGTATCAAGAAAGAATGTACAGTAATGCAGAGAAAATAAATATGGAACTCCCATAAAATGGCTAGAGAAAACAAGGTAATACATTGGGTGTGAATGAGGTCAAGATAGGAAATCATTTTTAACTTTTATTTTAGGACAGGTACTGTCCTAAATCATCACATTTTTGTATGCTGTCACAAAGAGTACAGTAGAGAGGGAAAATATAATGCTGGAGAGAGGGTGGTAATGCTGGAACAAAGTTCTTGAACAGGCAAAAAAGAGCAGAATGCAGCACAGATGGAAGATAGGTCTCGGGTAAAAAAGGCCAATCGCAGGAAAGGTGGAGCGCACCTGACTGACTGCTGACCGTGAACAGTGACCTAGACTAAGCTACTCAGGAGCTATAGCATCTATGTATAAAAAGCTAAATTACAAGATTAAAATCTTTAAACAGCAAACCCAAGGTTAATACAACCTTCTAATCACTAAATTCAGTTAAAAGTAAATCAGGAAGAGGAAGTTTGGTGTTTTTTTTTTAAATTCTCCTAAGGGGAGCAAAACCTACCTGGACTCTCCACTCTCTTGTAGTGGTATGGGTTGATGCAAACTTCTTTTTGCTTAGATCCGAAAGGAAATTCACAAATATCCAATGGCTTTAACTCATGGTGACTCTGCAGATCAGGCCATCGCCACACCCGACAATATATGACATGGGGCAGGCCCTTTCTGTGAGAGACCTGCAGGCGTCCGTCCAGGGATCTGGGGATAGTGACACACTTGCTCGGCTGTCCCGGGCTGCTCAGGGCTTTCTCCAGCTCTTCCATGGCGCCCTTCTTCTTCTTCAGCTTCTTCACCAAAGCATCTACTGCCTTTTCTGCCCATTTCTCCTCCTCATCGCCTTGCTTCCAGCCCAACAATCGCTTCACTGCTGGACTAGTAAAAGAAAACAAGCTGGCCATTGACGTCATTTGATATAAATCTTCAGAGACCTTCCTGTAGCTCGAAGTCAGTGGCTATTGAAAGAACAGATCACAGATGAAAAGTCAAATAGCAGATCCTAAGCAGAAGTTCCAATTAAAAAGGGAGGAGTGACGTTTATCTTTGTTAAGTGCCATAAGCTTCTTTCATTAGTTCAAGTCCTGAAAGAGAGAAAGGTCAAAAACAGTAAGATCCCTAATATAAATGAATGCAATTTATACACATTTATATCAATATAATTTAAAAGTATGTTATTTCTAAGAGCAGGAAAGTATTAACAAATGTAAAATTTAAGAAACCTGTCTAGAAAGAACTTTTCTTTAAAGTTCTGTGATCTCTCACTGCTGTGTTTATAACATTAACAAGTAATTCAAGTTCCCAAATGTTTGATTCAAAAGTGGTTTTCTTCATTGAAACCCATGCCACATGCTGTCAGTTTTGAAGATTTGTCCTGACCCGCACACATTTCTTAGGAGAAATTTAGCTCTTCTCTAAGCTCATTGTTCTCTTTAAAACGTGTCACAGACTTAAAAGGTTTGGGCAAAAGTCATGGTACTATTCAAGTCATATTATTTAATGCAAATTTTATTAAAGGTTGTCGTAAGATATATCAAACTCTCAATTAAATCATTACACACACAACTGCCAGGAAAATGAGAACTTTCTATTTTTAAAACTAAGAATGCTGAACAGATTTAAAGAAAATAAATTCAATGTTTAATCCCAAAAAGGACAGTTTATAAATTTGTAATTCCTGTTTCCTTCTGTGATATTATGTGAAGTTAATGAGCCTGCTCCAAACAGACCACTATTCTGCACCACTAAGAAGCTCTCAGCAAAGATGAGGAGAGGAAGTAATATGGATGGTACTCCACTGGTAATTGCAGTAAAATCCCCTATGGTCACTACAGAGCCAACTATAGACAATGAGCTAGAAAAATAGCAGGAGTAATATTTGGGAAAAGGATGTCTGTAACCAAAGATGCTGCCAGCCAAATAATGCTACTGCTCTTCCTTTCACAAGTTCTAGCATCAAGACTATTTTGGATTGGGGTGCCAACTACACTTGAAAGAACACACACATAGTTTAAACCAAGGTAAATATAAAGTAAAATGAAACCAAATTCAACAAATTATTAGTTGCTTACTCTGTGCCATGTATTTGAATAGCCAAGGTACTGCTTAAAAGTCACACCAAAGAGGTTTCATCGTAAAAGCCAACTAATTCAACCAGTCAACATATACTGAAGAGTCAACTAAGTGCCAGGCAATACTGTGGATTCAGAAGCACTAGTAATGGTTATGCAAATTGCTGTGCTCACATCTTGGGGGAGAGAGAGCAGGGCAGTGAGGTACACTCCTTGTAGAGATGGATATGCCTTGTGCCTTGTCTTCCTCAACCTTATGTAGAATGATTTCTGCCAGGGCCTCCCTGATGGTGCAGCTGTTGAGCGCTGGGCTGCGAGGCTGCCCGCAGCCTCTGCGGCGCCGGTTCAATCCCTGGCCTCCGGGTGAGGGTCCCGCATGGCGCGCAGGACTCTCCTGCAGCCCGCTGCTCCCTTCAGCAGTGTATTTCGCCGGTCTGCCTGTTCTGTTCCCCTCTCTGGCTCTGGTGAGTTCTCTCACCCTCCCACGCTTCTGACTGTACCCAGTGCTTGTATAAATAAATTTTTTTTTTTAAAAGAATGATTTCTGCCAGGTGCACAAGGCTGGTTACAGTAAGTTAAAGAAATATAACAAGGGCATGAAACCACATTTTTCAGCAGCAGATCACGGAATCTAATGTTATGTGCTCAACAAGCCACAAAATGAATGACCTCAGCTTTGGCTACCTCAAGGACACAGAATGAAAGTCATCTATCTGGGTCACAGAAAGGGTCTGAGACAAGAAGGGAAATTACAAGGCAATGGGACACAAACAACAGAAACACGTGGACAGCCGTGAATAGACCACTTCCTAGGATACATAGAGGACAAGACTGCCTGACAGATCTTATTCAAAAAAGTGAAATACAATGCAAGCTACATAGGTAGTACATGCATGTGAGAGAAAAAGTAGGTACGAATAATGGAGAGAGGTTGAGAAGTGGGGAGAAAAAAAAGGATCTTGACAATCAGATAGCACTGAAATTAGCCACTAGGAAGAGCTTAATATATGTTAATTACTCAGTGTCATCATCAAGTACTAACCATAGCATGCAATAAAGAGAAAAAAAGGAAAGTTATTTGTGTACATAAACAGAAGTAGAAGGCTACATACTAAAGTACTCATTATGGTTACCTCTGGGGAGAGGCATGGAATGAGAGTAACAGAAAGGGGTCCAGTCTGATTGTCCTATATATTTCTGTATCACTTTAACCATTTAACAAAGAGAATCTATCAATGTACTAAAATAAAATATAGATAATCTAAAATAAATTATGGTGAACAGAATGAAGCTGTCAGTGCTGGTACAAAAATCAGGTTGAAACTAATGTGTGCTATCAGAAGTCAGGATGACGGTTATTTTCCAAAGGGAAGGACAGATTATTAGCTAGAACAGAACCTCAGAATTTTGGTAATTCTGATAAAATTCTGCTTTTCACTCTTGGTTATGATATGGGAGAGTTCAATTAGTGAAAATTCAGCTGGCTGGATATTTATGACATTTTCTGTGTGACTTTTAAAAGTATTTTCTTGATATATAAAAAGGTAGTGTGGTCAGTTTCCTTCCTATTTTTCTCCCCATCAGCAGTTTCCCTTCTTATAATCCCTTTTATAATTATCTTTCATATCCTTCCAAAAATATTTTACACAAATACTAGCAAATACGATATATCTGTATATGTACACACACACAATTTATACATACATATTTGCTGTTTTTACATAAATAGTGGCAATCTGAAAAAAGGTGCAGAAAAACTTATGAACAATGTACCTTCAAGATCTTTCCTTAGCAATATAGTTTCCACATCTGTTCTACCACACAGAATTCCAGTTTAAAAAAAGTAATCTTGGGCCTCCCTGGTGGCCAAGGGGTTGAGCACCGCAGGAGTTCGATCCCCTGCCGGCAAGGGAGAAACCCACATGGGGGAGCAGACCTCTCCTGTCTCGCCCGCTGCTCCCCTCAGCAGTGTATTTCAGTCAGTCTGCCTGTTCTGTTCCCCACTCTGTCTCTGGTGAATCCTCTCACCCTCACATCTCTGGCCTGTACCCCAGCTCTTGTATGCATAAATAAATCTTCAAAAAAAAAAGTAATCTTAAAAGTGCATCAAACTAGGTTATTTCCCTGTTCCAAAATAATCCAGTGTCTTCCCATTACACTCAATATCCAAACTTCCTAAACTTTTTAGGAAATACATGATCTGGCCTTTGGCTTCTTCTCCAAATTTATTTCTTATATTCTCCTAGCTAACTTTGTATTTAACCACACTTTACTTCTTTCCATTTTTCAAGCACTCCAAGATGCTTTCTACCCCAAGACCGTTATACTTAACATGAATTACTCTCTTAATTAATTCAGGGGCTCAAATGTCGCCACCTGAGAAAGGCCTTTCCTAAGCACTAACCACTTTATCTAAAATAACACACCCTCCCCATCATTCTCTATCTCCTGACCCTACTCAGTTATCTTTCATGGCATTTATCCTAACACAATGTTACACTGTTGGTTTTATTTATTTCCTATTAATGTCTTCCCAATTGAAATGTAGATAGCCTCATCTTCCCTATCCACCAAGATAATCCCCTAGGCATACAACAGTACCTATTTATTAAATGAGTGAGCAAGTGGTGAATTAAAAAAAAAGTGGTCTGCGGAAACATGCATACCTTTATAAGAGCAACTGTATAAGATTTGAAACAAAAAAAGACTTATGGATATACACAGCAATAGTAAGAAAACAAAAATATGCATGGAAATGACAAATACACCAACTTCAGGATACTGAATACTGGCTACCTCTGACGAAAGGAAATGAAGAAAGAAGAGAAAAGCTTTAGCTGTGTCTTTTTTAAAACGAGATTTAAAGAAAATTTGACAAATCATCAAATGTTATTTTTTCTATGTACTTAGTTTATGAGTCAAAAAATTCACTATATTTAATTTTATAAAAAGTAGTATAAAGAAAACAAGAGGATCAGAGTCTGTCCTTTACTAGGTGTATGACATAACATGTATCATTCTTTCTAAGTTTAATAACTTCTGTAAACTCAGGATGATGGTTCCTAAGTCACTAAAATGATGTTATTAAATCTCAATCTCTCTCTCTCAATATATATATATATATATATATATACACACACATACACATACAAACATATTAGTGATGTTTAATGAGCTGGTAAATGTAATTCAAACATTAATTATGTTTATTATTCAAAGGAAGAATAGAGTGGAGACTTAAAAACTGGTTGGCTCTAGTCCCACTATAACATACACACCACTGTACTATTATACATACTTTTTGATGGAGCCCAAATCCCAGTAGCTCCGTCCATCTGTGTCTTCCAAAAGAAATCTCTATCACCCTTAACAATAAGCTCAAATCCATCCCCTTTTGAGAATAATTCCATCACCATCCAATCTAAAGAGGACAGGGTCGTTGACCAATTTATACTAGAACCTAAATAATAAAATATGACATTAATAAAAACATAACTTCCCAAATGGAGTGCAAAATTCTTTCAGGCAGAATTCCGCACTTGGCACTATTCCATGCAGGATACCACCAAACAACAGACTGTGTAGGTAGTTAATGAATGGTCACTGATTTTTCTATCAACTGTACCTTGAAATTAAAGATAAATTCAAATTTTAAACTCAAGTGACTGAGCAATGACCATTTCATTAACAGATTTAAGGACACTCAGAAAGTGGCTTTGCCAGTAGAGAAGATGGTTAACTGTGGAAAGGGTCATGACTGGAGACAAGAGATTTAGAAGAGAAAAGATGGGGAACAGATTCAATATTTTGTACAAATTGTGTTAACAAGAAAACAAGGTTTCAATAGAATGAAAAAAACAGCAAGTAAACTCCTGAATTTTAAAGAACATACACTGGTAGAAAGAGGTATTGGTAAACAAATGTTAAAAATGACATGCTTAGATTAGTACAACAGTATTGTAGAAGATCAAATACAAAGGAGAATGTAAAAAGGTGAAGAAAAGACAAATGGA